AAATTTTCTATATGCTCACAAGTGCTAGCACAGAACAGGGGCAGAAATGATTGAAGAACACACCATGTCACACAGACAAAAGGGTTTTTCAGTTTGAAATTGCAGACATCCTAGGGCCATGTATTAGGTGGCACTGGAGGGACCAATCTGTGAAGCTCAGAAAGGGGCACTCAGTCTTTTGCAGATGAAAATGGTGAAACTCCTTAATATGCTCTGAAATAGCATATTGATAGGGAAACTGAAAAAAAATTATCATTATTATTATATAATTGTGTAATAAATCATTAATTAGAAGAAAATACATTGGGTGATGTGGAATGCATGTGTACACACACATATTTATAAAAAGTTTGACTTTTCAAGTTTAGACTCCCAAGGAATGTAAACATATGTATGTAAAATATATAAAAGCTACATTTATTAACACACTCTTATGTTTTTTCTAACTATCAATATATTTTTTCCCCTTTGGAGTATACCCAGGCACTCCCAGGACCAATTCTGTTCGTGAAGGAATCAGACAGCTGTGGGATTACGTCTAACGTAGCCTTGAGTTGTCAACAAAACATACACAAACTCTTTTGGGCTGCCAACTCTCATCTCTTACATCAAGGAAATTGACTCATATACCAAGGCCTAAAAAATTAACATAGCTTGCATAAATACATCTTGATAATGTCCTTGAGCTTCCCGGTGAGAAGACAAACCCAAAGAAGTAGGAACAGCATGTACGTGATTTTTTATTTTTGATTTTTAAATGCCATGTCAGCAGTGACCATTTGTACTTAGCTGAAATTGCAGCACAGGATCCTATCAATCAATGCAATAAATAAATAAACAGATGATTGTGTGTGTAGTTGAACTAATGAAGCCAGCTTTCCTATCAGTTTGTATCTTGTAGTACAATTCTCTCTCATCCAATAAAATGTAAGTTCTGTTTTAGCTTTCCCTGTCCTGGCAAAATGCTTTTCTGCTGTGCGGATTCTCAGCTGTGAAACAAGGGGTGAGCAATATTCCTCGTAGTGGAGGCACTAATTCAGGGCTTTCTCCTTTAAAAGATCAACTAATTCAAAGAAACTTGACAGAAGTTAGTTTCTCTGTTGAGTTTGACTGAGGTTGGCCAAATGTTGAAAAATATTGGAGATGATGCAGAAGTACAGTTACACTTGCACACACAGACATAAAGACAGTGGCAGTTCCAATGACATCTCCTCTGGGAACTATGCTAAGCGGTGTATCTTCATTTGAAGAAAACAGAAAAGATCAGTATGGCATTACCCATCTCCTTTTAACTCCAATTTATTATTTTTACATTATGGGCACTGGATGATTGTTCAGGGCAAGAGCAGTAGAGAATATTGGTAAGTCTGACAGTGAATGCTTCCTGTCCCTTTCAGGTAAAGTATAATTTTGTTTCATTTTATAGCAAATGATTCAGGATAATGCAGTACAACTTTACAGAAAAGTAGGCTTTCTGTCAGGTGGTTGCAAGTCTGGTCAAAGGTATTTAAGCTTTCACAATATCTGGTGATTTATTAACAAGATTTGATTTTACACTCACAACTGCTGAAGTAATAAGCATGAAGTGTTACTAACACATTAAAAGTTTTTGTATTCATTCCAAGCAGTAGATTAATATCTAGAGGTGGAAGGGGAGGAGGGGGAAGGAGGAATTTAGAAAGAGCAGCATATTAGAAAAGAAAATTTACAGCTAAAGAATTTTGTGTCAGTTGTGAAATAAGAATGCCTTCTATAGAGAAACGAAAACACCAGTAAATTAAGCTACTTCTTGGCTGGAAAGAGCATGCATCAGTTACTTACAGTGTAAAGGTTCTCTCATCCATTGAACACAACTGCTCAATAATCTATCTTTTCTAATATGACACAAAAATACTGTCCAAGTTCAACATTTCCCAACAGACCAGTTAAATGGCATGGCCTGGTTTCACACAAATAGTGCTGTAAGAAGGCTGGTGCCTTCAGGTGTCCCAGTGTTGTAGCTCTGCTGTGCTGAGCTCACCCCCAAATATCTGCCTGGGGCCAGGGGTGGAGGGAGGCAGGATGTTCACAGGGTCTTACCACCCTGGAGCTGCTGACCTTCACAAAACTTGTCAGAACTTTGGTACCTTGACATCTTTCTTCTGCTAACATTGCATAAAATTAAGCTACAGGTTCAGGAACTACTGGGTGGAGAAAGTGTTGTGGTACTGCCTGGCAGAAGGACAGACTGGGGATGTAAGCTTTGTCTTCTTGGGGAGTAAGGCTAAAAATACACTAAGAATACTAAAAATACACAGGGCTAAGCATTTTGTAACAGGTGGTGGTCTGGACTTACATGTTGTTTAGGACTTCAGGTACACAAAGTCTCTTTTGAGCTAAGAAAACATCCACATGCAGAAAAGCGGGACTTTTCTAAAAACAGTTGCTTGCAGTTTTTTAGAGCATATGTCAAACGTAGGCCAACTTAATTCTGTCAAATCTAGGTAAATTCATGTTTAGTTCTCCAGCTTGGAAAGCTGCTGTGTTCTGGCCAGTTTCTACATGAGTATAACAACTTCTGCACTTCCCCACTGCTCTGCATAAAATGGCCACAGGTGAAAAGCAAGCAAGGTGTTTGGGATGAGACAGGTGACGTGATTTCCACAACTGCAGCTGTGATGCAGTTCTCCTGGGCCATTATTCTTGAAAACAGGCCTACTTGTGTAAGGCCTGGAGCCTGAGACAGTCACTTTAGAATATCTTGGAAAAAACTCACTTAGGTTTTTACATCCATCATCTTTTGATTTAGCTTTGTGCTGTGTCTGCCCTCTGATTAACTCTTTTTTTTAAATCCTTTACTGTCGTAATTGGCTTATAGAAAGATTTTAGCAAATGGTACTGAAAAGAGAAAATAAAAAGAAAGGTTCTCTAACAAATTTTTATGACTGTTCCTGAAAATCTGAAATACCATCAGTACGGAGATTCATGTAGTCCTGTTCCATTTTAAACCACTGATGGACTAAGTCGCTTAGAACAATTACTTATGCCCTGGGTTCAGCAGTAGCAGTCATTTTTCTCCTTCTTAGTAGCTGGTGCAGTGCTGTGGTTTTGACTTTCGGCCTGGGAATGGTGCTGATAACACCGATGTTTTTAATTGCTGCTTAGTAATGTTTACTCTGACCAAGGACTTTCTGAGTCTCATGCTCTGCCAGGGAGGAGGGGAAGCCAGGAGGAAGCAGAGACAGGACACCTGACCCAAACTAACCAAAGAGGTATTCCATACCACAGCACGTCATGCCCAGTATATAAACTGGGGGCAGTTATCTGGAAGGGTTAGATCACTGCTCGGTCAGGCTGGGTAGCGGTCGGAGGGTGGCAAGTGGTTGTATTCTCTTCCCTTGTTATTTCCCGTATCATTATTATTACTGGTGGTAGCAGCAGTGATTTGTGTTATACTTTAGTTACTGGACTGTTCTTATCTCAACCTGTGGGAGTTACATTCTTTCGATCCTCCTCCCCATCCCTCTGGGAGCAGGGGGAGGAAGGGGGGGGGAGTGAGTTACTGGCTGAGCTTAAACCATGACAACTTATAATAAAATTTGTTCTCTAAAATAATTTTATTTTAGTAAAGTTCCCATAAATTTGAAGAGGTTTCCATTTTGAGTTTAAAAATCTCAAATTACAAACATATGAATATGTACTTATGTACTTTAATTTTTGTAACTAGGAAAACTGTAGAATACTGAAACAGTATTAATTTCTTCATCTTAACAAACCTCTGCCTTTCTGTCAGGGTTTAGTTTGGCTCATGTAAGGCTAGTTTCATCCTTAGGTTCTTAATGGAGAATTAGTTAGCAGATTTAGTTATTTGAAGTCTTTGTTTGAAAATAAATAAACATTAGACTGATTTACATTTGCTAATCTGCAGTAAGATTGAAAATTATTGAGTTCTTGGTACCTGTTTAAAGTACTTATTTTATTTTTTTTTTAACAGCACTTTGTAGAGTTTTTTAAGAACTACATTGTATTCCTTTGCTTCCAAGTGATACGGCTGAGGAAAATTACAATTGTTGAAGAACAGTTTCTTTCATTGCACAGATACTGTGGTTTCTGTGATGGTTTCCTTGAGCTCTCACACAGAAGAACATGAGTTTTAATGCTTCCAAATTCTGGCAGGATGCTGTGCATCCTGGTACCCTTCCAGAAGACTTCAGGAAGATGAATGGACACAGGGGGTTGTCTGTGATGATTCTTCTTCCACTCAAGGATAGAAACAGGAGTCACTGGAGGCAGATCCAGAAAGAAATACTGTCTTAAAAGAGAAAGAAGGGCCTTGTGAATATCACTGATACAAGTGATGTTCCTGATGAGATGCAGGAGCCGTAACTCCCTGCACCCAAGTTCTTCCATGGCTTTGAGCAACCTATAATGCACTTTGGTGAAATCACCTTTGGGCCCTTAGATGGCTAAAGCTGCAATGAATCTTTTGAGACTGCTGCTTTTGCTGGTAACGGGCAGAGATTCTCCGTAATTTTGCAGCTTCAGTTCTCCTCTAACGCTGTGGAAATACTGTTTCTCTAGAGCCTAGAAGTAGCAAAGCTTAAATTAGCGAAACAAGTGCCGACAGACTGAAGAGACACACGAGCAGGAACACCTATACCTGAGCAGAGTGTCCGAGACACGTCTGAAGCACCGCCTGGCGGGATTCCCAGCGCTGCGACCCGCCCCGGCTCATAGCCCGCAGACCCGCCCACTCTGGGGCTAGGAGGGCCCGCCCGGCTCAGCGCCTCCTCAGCCCGCTTGCCCGGCTGCAGCTGCTGCGGCCGTAGCCCGTCCTCCTCGATCCGGGTATCACCGCCCCGGGGCGGCCCCGCCGCCACCCCCCTGTGCCGCGGCGGGAGAGCTCTGGGACCGAGCGGCGCCGCGCTTCGGCTGGACTCGCACCCGTACCTGCCCGCTGGTACGTAACGTAACGGGGCGGCGCTGGGCCCGGGGCCGGCGCTGCCACCGACCGCGACCCGCGCAGGGGCGGGCTGCGGGGCAGGCGGTCCCCTTCGGGAGGTGACCCTTCGGCGCTGTGGGGTTGGGGCGACGGCGGGACACCCCTCGGAAGGGCGGTGAGGGCCCTGGCAGCCCTACGGCCTGGCAGCCCGGCTTCCGCCGCTGTGCAGCTGCGGGAAATCCGGTCCTAAGAGTTTCTGATGTTAAAACGACAAAGCCCCGAGATGCGGGAAGGTTCAAAGTGAAAGCTGCTGTCCTCCGCACGTGCCGGTGCAGTAGAGTCTGCCCCTCGCTCCCCAAACCCGTAACCGAGCCCGGTTTGCTGTGGCAGCACATTGTACCTTCTACTGCGGAATCTGCTGGAGTTGTAGCGTAACTTTGTGTCTGCAGTGCGCGCCAGTTGCTCCAGCCTTACGCTTTGGTGATGGGTAGAGTAGGAAAAACATCACAACATCTTTAACTCCGACTGTTGTTGTTGTCTCACAATTCTAGGAGAGTGCAGAAATGTCTCGCTTCGAAAATAAAGGACTAATACTGGGCATAATGGCAGGGACTGCTGGCATAAGCCTGATGGTGATTTGGTACCGTAAGATCCGAAAACCGGGTGCAACTGTGCGTATACCTGCGCTCCTAAATGCAAGTAACAGGCTTAGTTCTGTGGGCTTGCAAAATGAAGCTCCGAATGAGCAAGGAGCAGTAATGGTTTTATATGGAAGGCAACTGCAGATACTAGAAAAATTGAATGACTTGCTAGTGAGTGTGGATGAACTGAAGAGAGAGGTAAAATTTCTGAAAGAAGCTATTCCAAAGCTTGAAGAGCTTGTTCGCAAGGAGCTTCAAGGGAAGGGAGATGTTCAGAGAGTAAGCCCCTCACACAGAGCAACAAAGCGGAGAAAAGCTGAGACAGCTTCTGGTGCTGCAGAAACTACCAGCTCTGAGGAGGCGGAAAGTGAAGGAGGGTGAGTCAATAATATTTTGTACATACTACAGTACACGTGCAGCGCAAATTGCATCATTACCTGTGTGAAACTTTGTATTGTAAATAGGAGTCCTTTGAAAGTTTTCCATAGATCTTCTGTCATTTTTTTGTTTGGTTCTGTTTTTTTTCCCTGAATAGAGAAATAGAAGTTCAGATTAGAAATTTTTTTAGACCAGAAAAACCTGTGGGTGACCACCTCTGAATCTGCACTATGGTTGAAGCTGGCTTAATGCCAGGCCTAATACAGATTTTTTAAGGGTGCAGTATTGCTACATAGGTCTGCAGTGAAGGCAAAGTTCAGAATAATGGTGTAATTTTAAAAGTGATTCTAGTAATAAAATAGTCTCTGATGGTGTGTGTTCACATTGTACAAACTCGTGTGCTTTTTGTGGTAATTGTCTTCTGTGGGCCTTACAGATGAGTTATGACAGTGTTCTGCCTGAAATTATATGCTGTGAAAGCTATGTCCCAATGCAACGTGTGTATAAAGGGCAGAATGTTTATGTATTTGTTGTTGAATTACACTTTCTGATAGCTTAAAAAGAATTCATGAGGTATTTAAGGTAGTGATTCAGTAAAGTGGGAAGTTCCTAGTTTTGATTGCATCTTGTGTCCTGATGCGAGTTGAGGAACATGCTGAAGGATCAGATGTACTTGGAGTCGAGGAGGGGGACTAGATTTCTGTCTTTTCATTTGTTACCTAATATACTGACCACTAGTAATGTAAAAATAGTGATGACATTACTCTCCTGTAATTGCAACTTTGTTTTGGTATAATCAGAGTAGATACTTACATGCAGTTTAATAAGGGTATGTTTATAGCAGCTTAGTTTTTTGAGCAATCTCCTCAGTGTATTAACATGCCTGTGTAGGCAGCATTGTGTCTGTAAATTGCCCATCTTAAGCCACTTTTTTCTTTAAAGATACATTAATTAACTGTAATATTCTGAAGTTAGTAACATGCACCATATAATTAATGGAATTTTATTAAGAGTTTCTCCAAATTTATTTTCAGTTCCTGCGGGCAGAACTTCCTGTGTTACATCCCAGCCCACATGCTTCACAAGTTATATTTTGATAGCATAATTTGAGACCTGTCAGTTCTATTACGAACTTCTTCTGTATTTTAAGCTTAGAGTATTGGCAGCAGAATTAAAAGACATTCCTCCTTCATATGGTGTAGAAACACTTCCGTTCTATTTTCTCAGATTGTTTTATCCATTGGTTGGTTTTCAGAAGCCTTTATGTTATACATAAGAGATTTGGGGATGTAGATAAGGACCAGTTTATGAATAATCAGGCTCACTGACTCAATAGAGGGTCTATTCCACACCTAGCAGGTGAGCAGATCCTGTTTTCTCATCAGGAGAGATGCTTTGCTGTTTGGGAACTAGCCAAGGGAACTTGTCTGTTCAGGTTTTTCTGTGTGACGAAGAAGCTGATGGGATGATCCAATACAAGTGATTATAGTGTGCAAGTGTGTCCTTAAGCAAGGCCTCCACTAACAAGTATTTGTGTACAGTCAGAGGAAAGGAAGATAATTCAAGGTTATAGATAGTCATTTGAGTATGTGCTTTTTCCAATGCTGTTTTTTAATCCCTTTTCAAAAGAGGTGTTTTTCCTGCTATCACCTGGTACTTGATTTGCTTATTTTGCATATCTTCTTTAAATATAATTTCATTTCATTTAAATAATTTTGTCCTGGGTTTTTCTTGGGGGGGGGGGGGGGGGTGGTGGTGGTTTTGTTTTAGTTTTTTCCTTGCAAATGGAAATAGGTTGCTGATCCCAGTGTGTGTATAGTTGCAATATATACAGCTTTTTCTGAGGTCTTCTGTAACTTTAATGACAGTGGTACAAGTTCTGTGAGAGTTTGCTGTGAGAGGCAATAACAAAACATGTTTTTTTTCCAGTTAATGTGCACCACCACCTCATGTGCTGTAGGCATTACATCATGTGCATTGTTTTGTAATGTTCTGTGGTGAGTTCCACACACAATAATGCATTCCGTTGTCTGTGCACAACACAATTTTCTGCTTGTGTTAAGCACTTTTGCTTTTAACTGACGAGTAGGTACATGCTGAGAATTGACAGATAAAGTGAGCTTTGGAGTTGTGTGGACTTGTGCTGCACGATTATATTGGTTTTGAATTTATAAATTCTTCCAGAAAAGCTTTCACATGTTGTTGTCCGTCCTCGTCCCCCCCCCCCCCAGTCTGGTTTGGCAGACTTTTCATTGAAGGCTACTTACCATTGCTGATGGATACACACTCTGCTGGGTCATACAGTGCAAATCTGGTCCAGATCAGTCCAAGACATAGAATCATCTTTCTACTGAATTAGAAGGAGTAGATGAGACGGTGTTTGTGTAAACTTTTGTAAAGTTGTCAGGGAAACAGCAGGTGGTATTTGATCTGTCTAAAAGCTGAAGTGTTGTGAACAGATGATACCTGGCTAAGCCCAGTGTCTGCCAATTTACAGGCAATGTAACATGTGTTTTGAACCAGCAGAGCAAATTTATACCATGTAGCTCAAGGGTTTTTTAGTTCAGTACTAGGTGCTTGGATTTACCTAACCCCTTAACCACAGAGTGGAGAGTCCCTAGCACAGTTTCTGTTTGTTCTTTGAACTTTGACCAGTCCTTTGTGATCCAACAGAGCATTGATGGTTGGTCATTACTCCTCACACTTTCACCACTGTTTTTCTCTTTTAAAGAAAATCTGTTGTTAAAAAAGGTGAAAGCAAGTTGGCACTGACTAGACATTTTTTTAGGTTCTTCCATTTTCTCAAGTATTGGTCAATGTGTTTATCACATACAAATACTTATTTTTCTATTTATCATCCAATAAAACCTCTTGCAGGAAAATACCAGATAAAATTGCAGATGTCAGCATTCTATGAAATATTTGTAAACCAAACAGTAATGACTGTCCTTGTTTTCTGTGAATTTCTCTTTTGGATTACTGTCATCAGCCTTTAGACTCCTGGAGTTTTTAAATCCTCACTTCTGTTTGTGTTAGCCCTGGTTTTGTTTATGTATTTATTTTTAATATAGAATTGTTTTTCATAACATGCTTTTCTAGAATGAGAAGTATAAGCCTGCTAGCTGTTTTGTTGAAGTCAATTATCAAGTTTGTCTTATTGTACTTTTTTATTAAAATGTTATACTCTTATTACACTCTTATTTTGTCCTTAAGTAGTTGGAGGGACTTCCTATCTTCTAATAAAACTGACTTCAGTTCAAGTTGGTAAAGTGCAGCTTACCGAAGTTGTTAGGACAAATCCTAGCTGTTTATTTTGTAAAAGTCTGTATTGCATTCTTAACATGTTGTTTTCATGCTTAAAACACTTCAGCTATGATAAGGATCAGACGGCGAGCTAGTAAGAAAATGTCATCAGAAACAAAACAGAAATACATTCTTTATGCCTAATTTGCCAAAATGGTTAAAGTGATATTTAATATTTTACACTTAATTAAATTACCTTAATGTCACTTCACTTCCATGACCCCATAGCAATGTAGGAGTTTGCCTGGGGTGTGTGCTGTGTGACTAGTGAGGTAGGAGCTCATCACAAGTCAGTCCTGAAGCTCTTGGCTGGCATCTTGGTGCTTATCCTGTGGGAAATGCTGGAAGGCAGCAGTGTCGGCTCTGGAGCCAAAGAAGAGACAAGGAAGAGAGGACCCCCTGAAGGTGCTATAAAGTGATTTTTCTGAGGAGAGAAAGAAAAAGTCTAAAGGAATGCTGATGCATCCCAGGGGTAACTAGCATTCCATATCTTGAGCACTAGCAAGTGTTTGTGCTCCCTTGAATGTTTTGATATCTGGATAGTCACTGCAAACCAAACTTGGAGAAGATTTTAATAATTTTCTTCCCTTTGTTTGAGAATGGCATTCTTTCTTGGTTGTGTAGAAACTTCTGCCCCTTAGTGTAACTCGTGTGTCAGCAGGCACAAGGGTTGTATGGTTTGTGTGAGACCCCAGGAATAACTGGCATTACCTTAAAATGAAAAAAATCATTCACTGTTGTGTAATTCACACTGTTGTGTAATTCACCCACAGGTTGTTTTATAGGTACTGTTTTGCCTTCTTTAAAGCACACACTCAATAAGTAAATTGAAAACTATTGCATTCTCATTAAGGCTTAAGATGATGTGCTCCACATTAAAATTCTTTGAGGATTCATGAAGCAAATAGAGACGAGGTAGGACAGAATTTTCCAGGATGGTGGAGGTGAGAGGAAGTGGGAAAGAAATGACCTGTCCTCTCTGGTGTTTCTCGTCACAGACGTGGCTTGAAGATCATGTTTCTGTAGGAGAGGTGAAATAAGGAAAGGTTTAATGCAGTAAGGCCTGGTCTTAAAAGATTATTTATCATTAGCTCCTCTTAAATTCGATCATCAGTTAGGTAGTGGCCTACTTCATACTTTTTCCGTTTGAGTGTCTCAGTGAATATTCTTGTATAGCTTATGTGATGTCATGAATTAAAGTGTTTGGCCGTGATGCTTTGCTGATGAAACTCTCTGCTGGGCTTGTTTGGAGTGAAAGGACTTGGCTGTCAGCCCAGTATATATATTGGCCTTTATATTTTTGCTGGGAGAGTAACGTTTTCTAAAAAAACAGTTTGGCTGTTTTCTAACATTGGAACAGTAGTGATCATAGAAATTTTTAGCAGATGATTGTGCAGCAAAGATAAAGATAACATCAACATTGACTTCCAAACAGTGATTCCTTACTTTCATATCTACCTGTGTAGGCAGCATTTGTTGATGCAGTGCCCAAAGTCCTGTAACTAAAGGAGTGTTACAGTTGCAGTGGGGAATTTGAAATTGCCTTTGCTGCTTAGTTATTGCTATATTGTGTAATGCCCTTATTTTAGGTCAGTAATTGCAGAGGTTGAGGTGGTGGAGCATCCAAACCATGTGAGGAAAGGTGCTTTCAAAACATATTTCACATCATAGGATATGTATTGGGGCTAAAAGACTGCTACCTCCCACCAAATCCCTTTTGGTGACCCTAACTTTTGGTCAAGTTAGTGCTCTGAGAAATGCAGCCTATCTATGATGTTGCTCTGCACTCACTTCAGAATAACTATGGAAGAACAAGATGCTGTGTTGTAAAGATGCTTCAGAAAACCAAAATAAATGTTTGGTGATTTATAAATAAAGGATCTGCAGGACAGGATGTGTTATCAACTTCAGCATCATCAAGATTGTATAAAATCTGTGGGAATCTCTGAAGTTTCCCATCTCTCCTTTGCTCCATGTTGTTTTTCAGTTTGAACACGTACATATGGTTTATGTATGTATTGTTTTATCCAAATGTATTTTTTACTCCTTTCCCATACTACTGGGTTAATTTTGCAGCAAATCTGTCATGCCACCTCTAGCATTTCTGTGGCTTGATGAGCTCTTCATTTACAAGCTCTAAGTGTATCTGCTTGTGTTTAGTTCTGGTCACTTTCAAATGCTATTTAAAAGCCATATGAGTATTAACCTCCATTTGTATTGCAAACATTCTGAACTGCTTATTTTTCTGGGAAAGAAAAAAAAAAGGATTTTATATGTTTTGACTGTCATGGCTTGCTCCAGTTACTCAGTTGCTTCATGTGACTAGTTCATGTTTTTTTCTGCTCAAAGCTATCATTTTAAAAATCTCTGAACTTGGCAGCTAATACTTTTACATTTGTTAGTTCTCATCAGAACAGTATTTTCAAAAGAGGAATTGGATAAGATTAGACTTTTCTGTTCATTTTTAGCGCACAAGCAAAAAGCTACTTTTAAAAAATAATGCCATTCAGCTGCTTCTATATGAAATTAGAGGACCCTAATGTATGCTCAGCACTTTGGACAGTAAGGCCACCTGATTATCTCTGCATGGTCTTTATGGCTTTTGTAAATATTTCTTTGACCTTGACTGCCTTCTGCTGAGTAATTGTGCACTAAGCATAATGAATTAATATAAACTCTTTCCCAGTTTCAGATATTCTGACCTTCTGAATGTTCAAAAGAAATAAAGGAAGAGAGAACAGTGATGTTATTGCTTCTATTTAGATCTTAAAAGTGTGTAACAAAACACTCTGTGATTCTTAATAGCACTTATGGTTTCATTTGGAGTAAGCCCATTCCTATTTCAAAAAATAGGGAAATTGAGGTTGAGTTCAAGAGGTCTAATCAGGGTTACAGATCACATCCCAATATATATTAATGATTTCAAGCATTCTGTGTTTGAAACACAAGGATACATGTGTTTCTAATACGTATCTGCATTTTTTTAAATTCATTATTAGGCAACAGGACAGTGTTAAACGTGACTTGCCTGTTAAGTTTGGAATATGATTGTGCTGTCCCTTTGAAGGTAAAGGTTTAGTAATAATACTAATAAGCTTGATACCATTAATAAGAATAGAACACCATTAAGGTTGGCCAACTGGAAGAAATTGTGCTCTGAATTTTTTGTGTTTGAATTGAAAAAGGCTTTACAGATATTTTTAGAAAAGATGGTTACTTTCTGTGATTTTAGTTATCTTACAGCTCATACTGATACTGAAGGAGACTCTGAGGAAGAAAAGGGATGTAAGAAATCACCTGATGCCATTGCGAAATCAGAAGACGAAGAGTTGTTTAATTTTTTACAGCAGGTGGACAATTTGCACAAGGGTTCAGAGAATGACAAAAAGGAGGGCTTCAGACTGCTGCTTGAGAAAGATGACAAGGTATTAACGGGTAAACTTAATATTACATTGCTGTTAACTTGTGCTTTGTACTGCCTTTGAGAACTTCCTTAATACAAGCACTAAAATGAACACAGGAATGGAAGATGAAATTTTGTGATTATTTTTAAAATGCAGTAAAAAAGAAATATTTTAAGGTGGTGTAAATATTCATGTTGGGTGGGCAGAGAATTTTTGTTGTTTTATATCCCATCCAGCCTCAATAATTTTGACGCTTTTTTCTTTTATGTATGTGTTCTTGGATATGACAAAGTAATGATATTTATTTCAGCTGGTTTTAAAAGGGTCTGTGTGGCAAAGTCCTGTGGAATTAAGTACTAACCTGACCTAATGTTCTCAAGAAATCAGACTACGAGCCTGTAGTCTGCTTATACCTTAAAATTTACTTCGTGTAAATTTTTCCCTTGACTGTACTGTGCTCATAGGTAACTCCAGATAAAATTTCAAAGTGGCTTGATATTCAGTGCTTAATTCAGTGTATCAGTTTCTTCTGATTTGGCAAACATTACTTCTGATTGTATTTTCATTTACACGTTGAAATACCCAGGAAGGTAGATCAGATATTAATTATGACTGAGTGTGGTGTTTATGACACCCCCCAAATTAAATACACATCACATCAAGAATCTGTTGTGCTTTACTGGATTACCTTTTTATTTTTTATATTAAAAGAACTTTAAATTTGATTTGTGAAGTAAATCTCTTTAGACAGTCCAGGGTATTTCCAAAAGGTGTGTTTTGGCTGTGAATAATTGGTCAAGTGGTTCTTGCATAAAATAAAAATAATATAGAAGGATACAAAATAACCAAATATTTATGCCACATTCAGATAACCTACTGAAGCATTATGAAAGGAAACTTTTAATTCTGATCTATTTAGTTACCCAGGTGTCCTCTATTTTCAGTATGAAAACTGTGTGGACTTTCTTTGGAGACTTGCACGTGCTTATGGAGATATGTTTGAGATGACTACTGATGCTAATGAGAAGAGGAAATATGTTGCTGATGGTAAGCAGAGGAAAAATATATGTCTAGAATGTCATCTGAATGTAGTGAAAGATGTTTGAGCTTCAGTTACGTTTTCCAATCCAAGACATTTCCAGTCCAATAAATGGCAGCATCTGTACCATAATAATGATGTTTTGGGTAGTCAACTGCCACAGTATACAACTTCAGTCCATTGGAGAGATCCAGAGTCAGTGAAGGAGAAGTATTGTGGGTCCTAATCACATACTGTTCACTCTGGATGATCCTTAAAATCCTGTATTGTGTTGAGAATTGGATGGATACAGGATGTTAAAAAAAAAAAAAAGACACTGTCAGCATAACTTCTTAATTGCATCTTTGGGAGAGCAAGAGGAATAAATAAATTCCACAGGAAACTCGGGGTTTGTTTTCCTGTTTTCCTGTGGTAACAGAGCACTCCTGCATATCAGCAGCCTTTTCTTGTGGTGATGGTGGTGATAATACTTTAGGAATCTGGAAAAACTGTTGACCAGAAACAGAAGTCATGTGTGACAGTTGATGTTGCTTCCAGGCATCTCTCCCTGTGTGTCCTGCTTGACAGCTTAACCTCTACAAGGTCATGATTTTCTTCTTTGCAGTCCTTTGCTGCTCCTAAAAACATTGATCTTTCTTTCACTATCTGGATGCGCATTCACCAGAGGAATAGTTTACATTTCCCTTTTTTGTTTTGGGCCTTCTCTTTATTACGGTAAAACCTGTTTCTTTTCTACGTGTGTCACTTTCCTCCAGCCAACGCACCATTCTTAAAATAATCCCTTTTGCCTGTATCTGGGAATACTTCTCTGTCTCCTTTATTTCTTCATTGCCTCTCCTTTTTTTTTGAACCAAATTCATGTTTTCCAAGTGTATTCCAAGTTTTAGTTCTTATTTTGTGACTTTTTTACTGTTTTCTACTTCTTGTTCTATTAGCAGTGACAACATCACTGACAAAGCACTTTTGGCTGCCCTTTGTAAACCTGAAAGGCAGTGTCATACCTTTGTGCTGCGATTACGTATTCCATTGCCACCCACAGCTTGTCCAAGGTCCTTGTCCCTATAATTGTGTCATCTGAATACTCATGAAGACTTGCACTGTCTTAGCTATTTAATTGATCCTGGCTTTGCTTTAGTATTTGGCTTATTTGTATGGAAATCATGAAGTACAGTGGGGATGGACTAAATTACAACAGTAAACTCTGTTGTTGGATCCTTTGCATCTACCAGTGACTGTATGTAGCTTCAGCTGATGAAAGATAGTGGCATGGCAAAAGACAGGGAGAGATAAAGAATGGTGGAATGAAATTGGGTCTTAGGTGTTGAGTAATCAGCCTAGTTAAGCTCTTTCTCATGAAATGGTGGGTGGCAGCAGCCTTTTTCATCTCAGCTTTTGGAAGTAGTGTAGAGGGATTGAGACTGTGGGGGAGCTGGCAGTAGTTTCGTGAGTTTTCTCATTCCAGGGAGTTGGGGGCCTATGTATGCTGTTCTTTGTTTTGATGAAGTTAACTTGCAATACAGAAATGTCAGTGTGGTGTAATTGGTTGCAGCTGAGACTGCAAACAGCAAAGCATCTCATCTGAACTTACTACTGGGAGCGTGGGTTTGATCAAATCACTGACTGTCATCTTTATTCAGTTAAAAGTGGAGCTAAATGGAAGCCTTTGTGCTAGAAAGGAACTGCAACTAGTTCATTCCTGTACCCAAGATAGGAAACAGCTTTACTTGCTCTTCTGACAGGTGCTTCTTTAACCTGCTTTTAAGGGGTCTTCAGTCTTATACACAGCACGGCCTCCTTTGGCAGTCTAGTCCAATCTTTCCTGATTTAGCCTCATCTAAACTGGATTTTAAGAGAAAAAAATAAAATCACACCCATATATATGTGTATATATACATACATATATATGTATACATACATATATATGCACACATATTTACATACGGCTATAAATGGTGTAAAGCCAGGATGTAACATCATCCAGTTAAATGTTTAGAAGAATGGAAAGCAATTTCTTCTTTGCAGCTAGAGTACATGAGGTTGCTTCATTATTGGGAGTTGCATAAACCACAGAAAAGTGCAATAAACCCTTTAATGTATTGTATTCCATTTACAGGAAAGATTAAAGCTGAAAAGGCTGTACAGCTGGATGGCAGGAGTGCTGAGAGTCACCAGTGGTAAGTTTGAAAAAGTGTACCTTTTGCCGACTTGTCTGTCTATATCAGATCCAACAAAAAATCCCAGCTGTCTTTGGCTCTAAACAGCGCTCGCAGCGAGTTACATTTATCATACTGCAATTTGACGTAAATTTCATAAATGATTCACTAATAGTATTCATAGTTATATGGAACTCAATTATCAGTCACAGCTAAAAATTTCATTGAAGTATTTTGTGAAGCGTTTACTATGGCATATGAAAACTCAATCACCATACTTCAGTATGTACCATGGAAAGTAGAAGGGAGTATTTGCCTAAAACAATATATTATTGCTCAGAGAAGCCATAGTTTTTCATTTGCCTTCTCTTTCAACACTTGGCAAAATAATGACATTTGACCTCGTATTTTATCCTTTCTTTATAATAACCTAAATTCTAATTTAGATTTTAGATTAAAAATAGGCAATGAGGGGGCTATGGAAGTTTGAATTAACTTCTCAATTTTTTGTTTTACCAAATCATTTTTCTTCAAGCTTGGCAGTCAGATTAATTTTGTAGATCTTGCTAGGAATAACAGACTCTTCGCAAATGTAAATATTTTTTTATTGTATCAACATTATCAGGTAAAAGATAATTCTGCTGAGTTCTAGTAGATCATTTCTCTGTTTTACTTTATTAATCAATTTTATTGAGCTCCTGATTTCTAATATTGCTAGTTTTCCCATTTTTATTTCCATGTTCTTCATTAATTTTGTCATTACACATGTAGGGTAGGATTTCACTTAACTTTTACATATCTAAACCAAATCCTTTTATCCCAAGCTCACTTCACAATCTAAAAAGAAGCAGCCTTTTCTGGAGTGTAGTTCACCTGAGTCCATTTTAGCCATCTGCATTAGGATGAGATGAGTATCTCCTGAGGTTCAGTTGACAACATCTCCATTGCCAATAAAGGGAGCACATGTCAGCTATCTCAAGATTTAGATAGTTTGACACAGATGTTTTTGTTTCATTAGGTGCCTCTCTGACTTGGTCTCTCTTTCCTAAACTTCAAGAATGGCCATGTTATTGTTCCAGACTGTGTTCCTGTGAGCGTTGCCATATTTCTGATTCTTTTTTATCTTTCTGTTTATAACAACTAGTGATCTAAACACCTGCTTTGTAACAGTGACATGCTAGAACTGGAGTGCTGTGGGAATCTTGGCTAAGCTTCACTGCCACAGATGTATTTCCATTTGCTCTTTCCCATGTCTTGGAAGTAATGATGATGCCTGCCTGTAGGTGAAGCTTAGGCTCCATGTGGCTATAATCTGGCAGTTTAAGATAGGAGAATTTTCTTTTGGCCTTCCCCAGCTGTTTGTTAATTCCTGTCTGCTGGAGTTTGCCCTCTGCCAGCAGAACCAAAGAAGAGGAGCACCTGAGTGTCACTACTGAGTGTAAGGTGATTTGAACCCCATAGCTTGAACACCTGCTGAAAGCGGTTTACAGCCATGTCTGCTGTTTGACCGCAGCCAAGGTCACTTCTTCAGGGTAATGCTGGTGTACCCCTCTCAGCTAAAGCTATGTATAAACAACCACAAAAGCATATGCAAGCACAAGTCCTGTCCCTCCTTTCCAGCCCATGAGACTGACAAAATCTCCTAGCATAAATATTTCACTGGCAGAAACTACAGTGATAAAACATTACATATTGTTCAGGGAGATGTAGGTGGTCTGCTGGACTTCAGATGCAAGATCCTGTACTGGCAGGCACATCTAGCAAAGGAAGAATTATGAGTGTAAGGAGATGTGTTCCAGAGGTTAGCTCAGGAAAGCCTGTTTGAGAGGTTAAAGAGGAAAATCTTATGTTTTGTAAGCTACTGCTTTTTATAACAGGCAATGGATTTCTGTGTGGTTTACAGTCCTTTTTCTGGGATGAAAACTGCATCTGGGTCTGCAAGTGAATGAGAGGGTTTTATCACCACTAACTGGTGGCTTTCTAACTGTAGATGGACTCCACAGATTTGAATAGCTTGGTATAATTTTTTTTCTGAATATTTTATCTGCATGTCTGTCTTTTCTGAAGTCTTTCTTGATGCATGATTTCTCGAGTGTAATGCCCCATACTGTTCATGCTGCACTGAGGCTGTGAATACTGGGCACAATGGACTTCCACGATCCAGACATTTGTATGTTTTTTGTCTAGCCCACCAACTGTTGCTCAGTTTGTGGTCCCAGTGGATCCTTTTCTGCTGTGCTGCTGGTTAACCAGATTGACTTGCTTTATAACTGTACATTTCTATTTTCTTCCTTGGCGTAGAGTACTTTATACACGTTTCATTGGTTTCATGTTGAGTGCAGACTATTTCTAACATTTACTGAGGTCATCTAGGTTCGTAAATGCTTGCATTATCTCTCAGATGGCAGTTTTATTTTAGAAGTGTTTTGTTGTTAGGTGGGATTTTGAAATCATTTACTTCATTAATGTAATTACTAGAAGCTAACAGACCCAGCACAAAACTTCATGGAACACATATAATGATGCTCAGATTCACAGGAGCCTGGTTCTGCAACCATCTCTACAGGTGATTTAATCTAAACAGTATTTCCACAGTTAGATTTTGAAGCACATTGGGTAGAACAGAGTTAGAGACAACATAATGGTCAAGCTATACCCCATTTGTTGCATTCCTCTAATATTCCAGGCTTGCTCATTTTGTCAGAGAAGAAAAATACTTTTGTTTGATGCTGTTTGTTTCCACAAACTTATGTTAACTCTTTTGTATGCTTCTGCACTTAACAGAATAATTCACCCTGGAATGGTTAGGCTGTTTTGTCTGTAACCCCTGTCCTTTCCTTTCCTTTTTTTGTAGATAGCAGTCATATTTGCCTTTTTCGTTTCTGCTGAGGCTTTCTGCATTGCCCATTTTCTACATCTTGGTAGTCAGCTGTATGTCAGATCTGGATTGTTTGAGCCTGGCTAATGCAAATTTATCTTCCTGAACTCTATTTTACATGTTAATCCCCATGAACAGGAAAGAAGATTTCAGTGAATGTTCCCTGTAGAACCTGTGCTAAGTTGTATACAAACAGGTTGCCAAACCTCATAAGTAGATATTGCACAACGTTTCTGTTTGTGAACAGCAAACAGTGCAATACAATTAAGGTATGAAGAAATAATATGTGAAAATAATGTGAAATACATAGTGTGCAAGGACAATAAGATAGAAAACAAAACTTAAAAGAAAAACATTATAAATATTTATACTAAAATACTAGGATCACAAGCAGGCAGTCACTTACAGAAGAATGAAATACCAGTCTCACCCAAGATCAGAGATGAAGGGCAGTACCCAATTGCAGATTGACACCTAAATGTAGTGTCTCCATTGTATGTGTGGGCGAGGGACTTGTCCTTCACTTTCAGGGAATGGAGAGTAGATAGGCAATATGCGCCATTTGAAGTGCCAGGATATTTGTGTGGCATGGCAGATATCACACAGGACCTTTGGGGGTTTGTACCCTTCCAGGCCAGCAACTGGAAGAAGCCCTGGCCTATTTCCAGTGCCAGTAGGCATCAGTGTGTAGGCAGGGATACTGTGAATTGAATAGGGTCTCCACTGACTGTAATAGGAGGTCAGATACATAGATGAGAAGCTCAGTATGAAAGCAATCCTGTCTCAGACCAACATCCCTCCTCTTCATCTCACTACTAACATAACATTTTTTTAGGTTGTATAAGGTAAATAAGCTTAGCCTAAGATAAACCCATCTGTTTTTTTTAGGCAGTTTTCTCATTTTTCATAAAAGGTTATCTCATTGTCTATCAGTTACTGGTGAGGAAACTGGCTTTCTGACCTTGACTAAGGAAAGCTTTGGTTGATTTCTTTCTAACCTTCACTTTCTTATTTCTTAGGGGTTTTGATATTTCCTAACAGCACAACTGAGGTTTTAACTCATGTTTGATATAGCTGCTATCTATATTGTCCACTAATACATTACTTCTAATGTTCTCTTCAGCTATTAAATATATTATAGCTTGCTGAATGAGTGAGGATTAAATGATATGCCTGTTCTTTTCCTGGGCCTGTTCCTTGCTCTCTACTTACAGTTAACCCTTGGGGGTAGAGGCAATATAAACAAAGAAGAAGTTGAATTCAGCCTTGTTGGTTTCAGCTTTTGTCATGATTTGCTCACTGCTAATTGCTCTGTACTTTCATTTGTTTCTTTTCCTTCTGCTTTATTTATACAGCCTCTTATTGCTTCATATGTGTCTTGAAAGTTGCAACTTAATTTGTATTTAGCATTTTTATATACCTTTAAATATGCCATCCAGTTCTGAGATAGATATCTATAGATATTTGGATACACCTCTCCAATATCCACGGCTTAGCCATATGCTCTTATTTTCACTTTTAGACTCAATTACTTTTGAATTTTTTTGTCAATAGAGAATACCTCACTGGAGCTGAATTGGTCTTTAAAATTAATTCCTGCCTTTCCTCTGCATCAAAAAGGGTCATTTGTTGCTATGTTTTTTAATATTGTCTCTTAATTCTTCTATATAACATTTTAGAACATGGCCCTTTTTAATGGTTTTGTTTTCTTCATTATAAATGCACGTGGCGTGCATGTCAAGCAAGGATTTAAGGCTATAGACCTCTGAAAGTTTCTTTTGGAAGCTTATCCCCGCTGCTTGAAAGTTCTGTTTATCACACACCCTGACTGACATAACTGTTCCAGTAAAGCCTTAGTGTGGATGAGTTATACTGGCAAAAACATCCCTTTTCCAGAGTAGTGTTCTTCCTGCTTTATGAAACTGCTGTAAGCTGCCTGGGAAATAGGATGTATCTTTTGTCTTCACCAGGAGAATTTCATGGAATGGTCTCATGAGCAAACCCTTGCTAATGTATGCCCAGAGTTCAGCTCTCTCACTTTACTTTTCATATTTACATTGGTTAAGAACAAAAAAATTGCCATGTATCTTCTTAGTAGATTGCTGATTTTTTTTTTTTTTTTCTTTTTTTGTAAACCTGTATT